TCTCTCTTTCTTCCTCCTATAAAATTCTCATTACAGTATGTTACACCTTTTGTAAACATTCCACAGCTTTTGAACATTCTGTTCCTGTTTTTCGCTATTCTTTTACCTATTCTTTTCAGTTAGGAAGTTTCTGTTACTATATCTTAAGGCTCACTGATTCAACAAAAGCCATATGTAGTCTATTGGTGAGCTCACGACAGGCATTCTTCAGTTCTGCTGCCATATTTTTATTTCTAGCATTACCTCCTTCTTAGAATTTCCATCTTTCTGCTTATATTGTCCATCTGCTCTTGCATGTTGTCTATGTTTTCTATTAGAATCCGTATCATGTTAATCACAGTTACATAAATTCCCAGTCTGATCATTCCAAATGCTTGGCCATTTCCTAAATTCTTTACATCTTTTACGGGAAGTCAATTGATCCTGTTATTAATACTAGGGAATTAAAGAGTATAATAGAAGCTTATTATTCAAACCTACAATCATAACTACAAAAATAATTTAGAAGGAAAACCAAAACAAGTTATTGGCTCTGGAGAATAGGATTCAGGAAGACATTGACCATTTATTTGTCAACTGGAGAGAAAATGCAAACCTGCATGTGTTATTACTATGATAAATAAAATGAGTGGAGGATGAGGTGGGTCTAAGAGGTAATACATAAGACCGAGAACAAAGCAGGACTAGGCGCTTCGATCTCCTGGACAGTTGAAAATATGCATATAACTTTTGATCCCAAACAATTTAACTACTAGCATTCTACTGCTCATCAAATGCATTACTGATACCATAAATAGTCAATTAACTCATATTTTACATGTTATATGCATTGTATGCTGTATTCTTACAATAAAGTGACGTAGATGAAAGAAAAATGTTTTTAATAAAACCACAAGGTGGATAAAATATATTTACCGTATTTATTGGGAAAAAAATCCAATATAGGTCCACCTGAGCAACTCAAACCCTTGTTGTCCAAGAGCTAACTGTATAAACATCAGACTTATTAACAACCTTTGCTCATAAACCCCTGGTCCTACAAGTGTCCCTAACTCAAGTCCAAGGATTTGGTCCTCCAGAGACAGCAGGGCTACTGGGACTTATTGTCTCTTACCCTTTCCCATTTTTGTCCCCATACTCTTGCTACCACAGAACCAAATGCTCACTGCCTTCATTTCTACATGCTCGGTTTTTCTCCTGGGGCTTGGCACATGGTAGGTGCTCTGTATAATAGTTTGTTATCTTGAATCACCCTGGATGTACACCCTGGAGCTGACAGAAAATTCAGGGAAGTGCCTTACACTACAATCCCAGCAAGGGCTGCCGGAGAAACTCTCCATAGACCCTCAAAGTTTTGCCCCTTTTGTCCCTCTGATAGTCCTCACACACCTCTGAGCACCCTAGACTGAGCTGTTAGGAAAAGAATTGCATCCTTTATGAGGCATGGCTTGAGGTAATCACCTCAAACAGTTGAAGGCTGCGTGAAGGCCTTGGAGGCTAGCATATAGAAATAGGAGTGACGTATAAAACAAAGGACACAAAGAAGAAAAGCAGAAATAGAGCCATGCAGAGATAAACAGAAAGGGGACAAAGACCAAAACAAGCACAGAGACACAGAAAGGTAGGTACACAAACAGGAGATGGCGACACACAGAGAACCCCATCTGGTGAAGAATGGTATAGGTAGAGAACCGCCACCTTGGTAGTGAGAGCAGAAGCTTCTTGTTCAGCCAGCCGAGTGGCTCAGTTGGTTAAGAGCTTGCCCAAGAGTGTGAGCCCTGAGCAAGAGAGTTACTGGTTCAATTCCCACATGGGCCAGTGACGCTGCCCCTGCAGCTGAGCTGCTGCTGAGCTGCCCACAGGTGGCAGAATGGCTCAGCTGGTGAGAGCACATGCTCCTAACAACAAGGCTGCCAGTTTGAATGGTGGGCTAAGCCCACCNTCATAGCAAGAGGTCATATTCTTCTCATGACCCTAAATCATCATCTCCTTTCCGGTGCATGGACATTCTCAGTCACTGAGGTAGTCCACAGATCATGACTTGGGCTTCCACCTTCCTGTACTCCAAGGAAATCTCAGTTTGAGCGCAGAAGGAATGCTGAGCTCAAAGTTTTGTTGTCATCCCACATAACCTATCCAGGCTTCTTTTCTCTTTCCTCCAGGAGACATGTCCTGACTGCAGACTATGAGGAGAGGTGTTTGGACCATAGAATATTCCAATGTCTGTACAGGGTTCGTGTCTCAGCAGACAGAGGCCCAGAGACAACTGGGTTTGAATCCAGGGTACAGGGCGCCAAGGCTGTATAGCCTTCAGGAGGTATCTTAATCTCTGCAGCCTCCATGTCCCTCCTCTGTGACACAGGGACAGTAATTATCTTGTAGCAGGGTGGCAGTGAGAGTCAGAGATCATACAGCAGGTGCTTAATTCTTGTTTCTCTTCTAGTGGCACCAGTGGAGCGTTCCTGGGTGTGAATGCAACGGTCACATATTTGGGGACTTCACCAACGCCAATGAATGGAAGTGACCAGGCCACTCCTGAAAATATCACGATGGGGACACTGATCTCGCTCTTGCTGATTGTCATCATTTGCCTGGTTGGGCTGGCAGGAAACGCGGTGGTGCTGTGGCTCCTGGGCTTCCGTATGCGGAGGAACACTTTCTCTGTCTACATCCTCAACCTGGCGGGAGCCGACTTTCTCCTCCTTTGCTGCCAGATTATACGTTCTCTGCAGACACTCATCTACTACTTCCATTCCATCCCCATTTTTGCTCCCAGCTTCTTCTTCACCATTTTCACCTTTGCCTACATCACAGGCCTCAGCCTTCTCAGCGCCATTAGCACCGAGCGCTGCCTGTCCGTCCTGTGGCCCATCTGGTACCGCTGCCACCGCCCCACACACATGTCGGCTGTCATGTGTGCCCTGCTCTGGGCCCT